AATTTTGTCCTTCTTTGTGACTGTATAATATTCCATCATGTATATATACATTTTTTATCCAGTCCTCTTTCAATGGGCAGCACAGTTGGTTCTATGTTTTTGCTATTGTGAATAATGCCACAATAAACATGCATATGTAGGTATCTTTTTCACAGAGTGATTTGAGTTCCTCTGGGTATATTCCCAGTAGAGGGATTGCAGGGTCGTATGGAAGGTTGATTTTTAGATCTTTTAGGAATCCCCACAGTTTTCCACAGAGGTTGTACTAGTTTACACTCCCACCGACAGTGTAGAAGTGTCCCTTTTCACCTCATTGTCTCCAGCATCTGTTGTTTTTTGAGTTATTGATGATGGTCATCCTGACTAGAGTTAGATGGTATCTCGGTGTGGTTTTAATTTGCATTTCTTTGATGACTAGTGAAGCTGAGGATTTTTTTCATGTATCTGTTGGTTGCTCATATGTCTTCTTTTGAGAAGTATCTATTCATGTCTTTTGCCCACTTTGTAATGGGGCTGTTTGTTTTTTTTCTTTTTGGCATATTTGTGTTCCTTGCAGATCCTAGATGTTAGGCCTTTGTCAGATATATAGTTGACAAATATTTTTTCCCACTCTGTGGGCTGTCTCCCCACTCTTAATGGTTTCTTTGGCGTTGCAGAAACTTGTCAGTTTGATGAGGTACCTCTCGTGTATCTTATCTCTTATGACGTGGGCAGTTGGGGTTTGAATCAGGAATTGGTTGCCAGTTCCAATTTTCACAAGGGTGCCTTCTGCATTCTCTAAGGTTCTTATAGTTTGAGGTTTTACATTTAGGTCTTTGATCCATTGTAGTTGGTTTGTGTGTTTGGGAATAGAAGGGTCTTGTTTTAATTTTCTGCATGTGGTCAGCCAGTTTTCCCAGCTCCATTTACTCAATAGGTTCTCCTCTTCTCAGTGGTTAATGGTGAAGGCTTTGTCGAAGATGAGTTGACTGAGAAATGAGGTTTTGCTTCCAGAATCTCTACCCTGTTCCAATGATCTATATGCCTGTTCTTGTACCAATACCAGGCTGTTTTGATTATTGTAGCTTTATAATAAAGTTTAAAGTCTGAGAGTGTGATACTTCCCAGTTTTTTTTTCTCCCCTGAGGATTTTTTTGTCTATTTATGGTCATTTATGTTTCCATATGAATTTCTGTATTGTCGTTTCCAGGTCTGAGAAGAACGCTGCTGGTAATTTAATGGATATTGTGTTAAATCTGTAGATTGTCTTGGGTAGGACAGAATCTTAACAATGTTCATTCTTCCAATCCATGAGCATGGAATATTTTTCCATTTGTTTGTGTCATCTTTGATTTCTTTGAGCAGTGTTTTGTAGTTTTTGTTGTAAATGTCTTTCACTTCTCTGGTTAGGAAGGTGCCCAGATATTTCTTTTTTCCTTTTTTCTTTCTTTTTCTTTCTTTCTTTCCTTTTTTTTTTTTTTTTTTTGGTTCCTATTGTGAATAGGATTGTGCTTTTTGTTTGGGTTTCTTCTGTTTGTTTATTTTTGGTGTATACAAATGTGACTGTCTTTTGCACATTAGTTTTATACCCTGAGACTTTGCCAAAGTTTTTTTTATCAGTGCAAAGAGGTTTTTGAGAGAATCTCTTGGGTTTTCAAGGTATGAATCATGTCGTCTTCAAAAAGGGATAGCTTCCTCTTTTCCTATTTGGATACCCCTTATCTCCTCCTCTTGTCTGATTGCTCTAGCTAGGACTTCCAATACTATGTTGAACAGGAGGGGTGAGAGTAGCCATCCTTGTCTCATTCTAGTTTCTAGGGGAAATGGCTCCAATTTCTGTCTGTTTAGCAATATGTTGGCTGTGGGTTTCTTGTAGATGGCTCTTAGTATTTTGAGGTATATTCCATCTATGCCTAGATGTTTGAGGGTTTTTATCAAGAAGAGGTGCTGGATTTTACCGAAAGCTTTTTCCATGTCTAATGATATAATCTCACCACAGTTGCCTTGATATCTAACAATCAATATTGGTTTAATTAACACATTAATCTATTGATGAATGAGTGAATAAACTCCTCTGGTTTTCAAAGGAAGAAGATGAAGATACTAAATTGATTAGAGAAGAAAAAAGACAAAAGGAAAAATAATGAAGGCTCAAACTGATCATTTGGATCCAAAGAGATTATTTGATGCAGTTCTTGGGAAGACCAGATCAAATAGATCTGAAGTAATAAATAAGGAATAACAAAACTAAACTATCCTGAATGAAAGAAATATTTAAACCTATAAAGCAAAATTCTTGTTCAAACTGTGCCACCTCTAACATTTTAAAAATAAAACTTACTAAATTATCATGAATTTTTCTTTAAACACATAATTAAACTCTATTTTCTGATATTTTTGAGAAAAAATACCCTTATGTTTACTAATGAGGTGACACGATCAGCTTTACAAATTACATTATATTCTCTCACATATTATATATGACATGAGCTGCTCTTTAAAATCCAAATACAAGCCGGGCTCGGTGGCTCAGCCTGTAATCCTGTGCCTTTGGGAGATTGAGGTGAGTGGATTACCTGAGCCCGCGGGTTCGAGACCCACCTGGGCAGCGAGACCGCATCTCTACAATAAATCAAAAAATCAGCCGGGTGTGGTAGCGCATGCCTGTAATTCCGGCTACTCGGAAGGCTGAGGTGGAAGGATCGCTGGAGCCCAGCAGGCGAGGCTGCGGTGGCCGGGAGCGACCACTGCACTTCAGTCTGGGCGACCCAGTGAGACTCCAACTCAATAAAAAAAAAAAAAATACAAATACAAAAATAGTCATTTCTCCCTGTGTTTTAATAATTGCTCCTACTTTATTATTAGCAGGAGGCACAGCTCTTTAAGTCCTCCTCCCCACCCATCTTGGATGACTCAGTCCAAAGAATCTGCACAGCTTTCGAGCTAGTCAGAGACAAACCTGGGAAGTCTATTAAGTCCACCACTGTGGTGGTGCTTGTTGAGGCATGGTGTCATTGGTCCTGCACTAATGTTTCATGGCTGTGCTGATGTTCTTTCAATTCCAGGTACCTGTCACAGCGCTGACCAAGCTTGGTCTCTACAGGCTTCAAAATCACTTGTTTAGCCATTGATGCTTAGGACATAATCACTGTGTATACTCCTAAACTTAGAAGACATACATAAGCACTGCTTGTAACCTCTGCTTTTCCAAGTGTCTTCTTTTAAGAGGCTTTAGGCATCTGCTGAAAAAAGGTTTTCACTTGCTTAACTATTTACAGTTACTCAGGGCACTCTCCTAGACTAAGTCATACATGGGCGCCCATTGTAACCTGGTTTTACAAGTGTCCTATTCAAGACTTTGGGCATCTGCTTCAATAGAGGTTTTCTTTTGACTTTGTAATGTTTATTTTAATATAGTCTCTTATAGTAAATCATTTTTCTCTGACTAAATTGCAGTCAATTGCTATTTCATTTAGGATTTTCTAAAACTGTGTTATATAATTTATGTATGCATTTTTCTTTTTGTGCTAACATTGTTCTAAAAGAATATGATTTTTCTGTTACTGGAACATACTATAAAATATGGACATTGTATCCCTTTTAAGACTGAAAGAATGTGTTTATAATTTGACAATGACTTTTAAATGAATTTCCTGCTTGTGGCTATATTCATATTTTCTAATTCTTCAAATTTGGTAATTAATATGTTCCTATTATTTTCCTTAAAATGTAAAAAATGTAATTGCATAACTATATATTGTTTTTATTGACTTTTGAATCTGTCGTAATAACTCCTCTATCATTTCTAATTTTCTGTTTGTGCTTTTTCAAACTTTTTAAAATTAAAATTACACTGACTAGACTACTTTATAAATACTTATAATTTATAAAACCAATAATTGTTCTATCTGTTAATTTTATCATTTGTGTTATGTGTATTCTAACTTATTAATTTCTGCTTGTATATGGCTGTTACTTTATTATCTATTTTCTTTTGTTTTCTGTAGTTATTGTTTCTTGTCCAAAGTCTTGAGTTAAATGTTCTGCTCATTTACTTTCATTCTTTTTTAGCAAATGAAAGAAGATCACACTATGACTTTATCATTGAGCACAACTTTGGATAAATCTCATACACACTATTAGGAAGTTTTTTTTTCTAATTTGTAACAATGACTACTCTTACTTTTTAATCAAAAAGTTATTGATTTATTAAAGATGTCATTTTATATTTGATTTAATCTATTATTAATTGCATTTTGACCAATGAGTAGATCTGCATAATTTCTGCTTTTGACATTTATTGAAATTTATCTTTGTGGCTTGACATAAAATCATATGTGCCAGGATTCACAAATATTTTAAAAAGAAGACCTAGTCCTTTTTAGGGTACAAAGTTCATTCTCTGCTATTAAAACATCCTTGTTGACTATATTAAAATACTCTATATTCCTGTTTTTGTCTTTACTCAATCTGTTAAGAGGATTTAAAATATAATGAATAAGGTTGTTTTTTACATATACAGTGGACTTTGTACTCTACAAAATGGTACAACTTTGGCATCTCTTGGTTTCCAGCAGTAATGCAGATTTTACTTATTTTTATATGCATTGGCCTTTTAAATTGGCGTTTGACAGGAGTTCTGTTTTTAGGTGAATTAATTTCTGCTTATTTGTGTCCTAATATGTTCATTATGCATCGTCTTCCATGATTTTTATTCTGTATGTAAACTGACAGTATATAAAAGCTCAGCTCTAGACAGTCCTGACCTCAAGGTTAACTACATGAAAATATTTTATTTAATAATGTTTGTGATTATTGTCAAGTCATAAACATATGACAAATTTTCGAGTTATCTAAAATTACGGATTTACTGACTGGACATTACTGGATTCTTACAATTGAAATTTATAGATATATAACCAGGAGAACCTGATATATAAACATATTCGTAACATTAAATTCAGTTTAACGGGTTGCTTAAAGGTTTGAGAATGAATAAGGGAATTATTGTTTACTTACAGCATTCCCACCAATGACTTCTTCAAAGCCAAGTGTGGACATTCCAAATTTGCCTTCCTCCTCCTCTTCGTCCTTCTCTGTCTCACCGACATACTCCATGACTGTAATAATCTCCATCATGTCCAGCTTTGCCATATTTGTGCTTCTTACCATAAGTACGCTTTATTGCTGCCGAAGAAGAAAACAATGGAAAACTAAGAAAAGGTGAGATTCTAGTTTAAGCTAATCACATGCAGTAATATTTCAAAACCTATATATTTAATATTGGAATCAGGGATGGCACATGGAATATATATAACACTGCCAGTCTCTTAATGCATCCATAGCTTTGCTCTCAAACTGAGGGATCTTTGGCTGCCTTAGTATAATTTGTCTTATTTACTCCTACATGTCATATCTCTTAGAATCTAAGCCTGAATACAAAGATCTTATTTTGTGCTAAGCTCATTATTGATCTTGCCTATCTTGCCTGCAGGGAATCGGCAGCAGTAACCCTCACCACACTGCCTTCTGAGCTCTTGCTAGACAGACTTCACCCCAACCCCATGTACCAGAGGATGCCGCTCCTTCTGAATCCCAAATTGCTCAGCCTGGAGTATCCAAGGAATAACATTGAATATGTGAGAGATATTGGAGAGGGAGCATTTGGGAGGGTCTTTCAAGCAAGGTAAAGTTACCTATGGGAAAAAATATTCTCCCCCAAAATATGTTATGTCTGAAAATTTGCCAGACCATTAACCTATGTATATACCTACTATGTATAATAGTCATTATCAAATTAGTTAATTATTTGCATTATTAATCTTATCTGTATTGCAAACTTTGAATCCAAATAATTTCACCTTTGCTGGAAAATAGGAGTACATATGGAGAGAATATATTTTAGTGCATTTATAAGTAATTTATAGTAGATATAAATGTATCTTCCTTTATATAGTGTTCAAATTATGAGAAATTAGTAATAATTCATCCATATTTCCTTTTCAGAAAAAAATTTGTCACATATTTTTATTATAATGTATTACATTGATTTAGTGTGAGATATTAAGTAGATGTTTATGACAACAAAATAGAAAAAAAATGCAAAAATTTAGAAAATAATGATCTCAAAAAAGGCACATGTATTAGAGCCAACACTAGCCTATTTATTGCCTTTGTGTGAATTGGAATAAAATACCCTCTCTGCATGGATGCAGCTCCACAGACACACAGCTGGTCCAGAGAATGTGGACTTGGTTTTACTCCCTACTGCCTCTTTGGCCTCATAGAGGTTACAGTATAAAGAAAATCTCACACACTTACTGGAAACCAAAATTTTCAAGGCATCACTCTAGGCTCATTGAGGGATATAAAGATGGTTAAGTCATGATCCCTGCCTTCAATGAATTTAGGTTTTGCCCAAAAATGTAAGAGGTTATAATGACAATGATAATCCCATTGGGTTTGTGCACTTTAGAATTTCCGTAATTTATAAATAATGTACTTTTTAAAACCTGTTTGAAATAGCTGAAAATAACACCAGTGATTTTTATTAATTGGAGTCAAGTAGTTTAAAATATGTCATCTCCATTTGAAAAAGGCTCTGGGAAAGGCTACATGATGGAGGGATGTGCATAAATGTGGGTAAATATACTGCAGGTGTGTATGTATGATGTTCCTGATCTTTTGTTTTTTGGTTTTTTTCAATAAATTTACCTCTCAGGGCTCCGGGCTTACTTCCCTACGAACCTTTTACAATGGTGGCAGTAAAGATGCTCAAAGAAGAAGCCTCAGCAGATATGCAAGCAGACTTTCAGAGGGAGGCAGCCCTCATGGCAGAATTTGACAACCCTAACATTGTGAAACTCTTAGGTATGAAAATACAAATGAAGATATTTATTTCACCAGAAAACAGTAGTTTTCCAAGTTTTTTTCTTCCTTTATACTTCACTTATTTATGTTTTTTCCTTTATTTCTTGTTCAGGGAGATGTTTCTGTTCCCCTCTAAGCTTAGCCTCTTCACCCAGATCTATCCCAACCCATAGGACATTCATTGCTTAATGGATTCATCACTTCAGATTTTCTCTGTCTTTGTTGCCTCCTTACTATTACTAAAGTGTTTAATATGTTGCTATAGCAAAGACTCTTTCATTGACATCGTTTCTTCATCATAAAATTTATCAATGTTGAATAGACTAAGTATTTTTACTTGTTTATTTTGTTTTTTCTCTTTCTTTCCTTATTGGAATGTTATGAAGGCAGGAACGCAAATCCTTTTGGGTTCATTGTTTAATTCCCGCTTATTCAAGTATTCATAAATTCAACAAATATTTAGTTTGTTTTAATTATCAATGATGAACAAAACTTTTTAAAAATCCTTCTGCTCATGGATTTTACATTCTTTTGGGAAAGACAGATAATAAAAATAACACAAAAATATAGTATACTAAATACTGAGTTCTAAAGACTGTTTTAAAAATCAAAGTAGAAAAGTTTTTGTAGTGTGAACTAAAAATTTTAGAGACTTCCATGAAAATATAACCTGGCAGAGGAAAAGGAATAGCAATGTGGATATCTTGGGAAAGAACATTCCAAGAAGAAAGAAAAGCACTTGTTTGCAAAGGTTCTGCAACAAGAGCATGTATGGCATGCTTGAGAAAGAACAAAGAAATGAGTGTGGCTGGAGCCGAGTAAAAGAGGAAAAAGTTGTAAAAGATGAGATCTGAGAGGTAATGGGCAGATCCTCTCAGGCCTTATTAAAAACTGGCTTTTACTCTGAGCAAAATGGGAAGCAAATGGAGAGGTTCAGTCAAGAAATGACATGACATAACTCACATTTTTCCAATT